GAAATGCTCCACTGTTTGTCATTCGGTTCTTTGCTGTGACAGAATAGTGCAAAGCACACAGCTGCATGACTTTGCCTGAGAGAGGAAAATGCTTTGCAAATGATATACTGATGCCTCGCTCTGTTGATGTTTCTGTTGCTGGAAAATGACTACATTTCTGATCAGTGGATGAAGCAGTCTTCTCCTACGTGGTTTTCTTGCCTTAAAAAATATCTTTATCCCTGTGACTTGACCTTTAACGAGAGATGAGACTCATCTCGTGGAGAGCTTAATGCCTTCGGCCACCTTGCCAGCTTCTGCCGAGCTCACCTCTATCTTACGGTCAGACCTCGTCATCTCAGAGGTTTGGGGGAAATGCCTCTAAAAAGTCTAAAGACCCTTTTCACTGGGCTGTTCTTCCTGACTACAAGCACCAATGACACTTGGGAATCTTCAGCCAATTTTTTATCCTTTTGTTTAACTCAATGCTGGATACTTAAAAGTGCCAGGGCTTCCCTGGTGGCACAGTGGTTGGGGGTCCGCCTGCCGATGCAGGGGACGCGGGTTCGTGCCCCAGTCCGGGAAGATCCCACATGCCGCGGAGCGGCTGGGCCCGTGAGCCATGGCCGCTGGGTCTGCGCGTCCAGAGCCTGTGCTCCGCAACAGGGGAGGCCACAGCAGTGAGAGGCCGGCGTACTGCAGAAAAATTTTAAAAAAAGGAAAAAAAAAGAAAAGTGCCAGCATTATGAGTCCCAGAGGATCAATCAACAGGGTTCATTTTCTTGATGAGAAGACATGGTTTGCTTCAGACAACTGAAGCACAGAGGTTTTAAGCCGAACAAAATGCCTTTGAAATCAGCTGGTAGAAAACACTCAGATATTAACTTTAGGATTCTAATGACTTCAAACCTTATTTTTTTTAAAATTCTCAATTCCATTCCTTACTCCACAATTCTTCCACTCCTTTTCTCTTCATTATGAGACTTAGTCATCAGAGCCAGTTGGCCCTCTGAACATTTTTCTGGTGTCTGGCAACAGGATCACTTGCTAGGACCAAAAAATTTATTTTCTCTAGCTAACCTCATTAAATGCAGACTTCACATACCGGTCATAGATTTTTTTATTTATATCTATTAAGTTCATGCCCACAATATGACCATTGTTTTTTTGAGGGGCTGAAGCTAGATTAAGAAGGTAAGGTATGCATTGTTTGCTACCTTAGGTTACATGAAGTGGTCATACTAGAGACTTCCCTGGTGACGCAGTGGTGAAGAATCCGCCTGCCAATGCAGGGGACACGGGTTCAATCCCTGGTCCGGGAAGATTCCACATGTTGCAGAGCAACTAAGCCCATGTGCCACAACTACTGAGCCTGTGCTCTAGAGCCCGTGAACCACAACTACTGAGCCCGTATGCCACAACGACTGAAGCCTGTGCGCCCTAGAGCCCAGGTGCCGCAACCACTGAGCCTGAGTGCTGCAACTACTGAAGTCCGCGTACCTAGAGCCCGTGCTCCACAACGAGAAGCCACCGCAATGAGAAGCCTGCGCACCGCAACAAAGAGTAGCCCCCACTCGGTGCAACTAGAGAAAGCCCGCGTGCAGCAACAAAGACCCAACAAAGCCAAAAAATTTTTTAAAAATCAGGTTTAAAAAAAAAAAGTAGTCATACTAAAAATGTGCAAAGTAATACAGTGGAAAGGAGCACAGAGGTACAAAAAGCTTGAGGCCTCTCTCGGTACCAAAATCTCATTCCAGCTTCCTACTATCAGCAAAGACCTGTCTCGGCTGCTTGCTGGGACCATCAAAGCAGTGCCCCGTGGCCTTCATTTCTCATGAGGTTTGCCTGGTTGCTAACCACGAAGGCTCCACTCCACTCTCATCCCAATGGGTACAGAGTTCCAAAGGTAACACTGGAGAATTCCAAAGGCATGTCTCCTCCAATTCATCCACACGCTGTCCTGGATTCTAAACATTCTATACTTAATTAAAACAGGGGCAAAGGAGAAGAGAATATAGGGTGAAGAAAACATTATTTTGGAGAAATTTACTTGATAGCATTTTAAGCCCATGAGCCTAAGGTGATCCTGGATCCTTCCGGTCCAATCGTGCAGTGGGAAGGTAGGTCCATGTGGGAGCTGTGTATAGTGCCAGGCCTAAGACAGCAGTCACTGTCCCATGCCTATAATCACTCAATCATTTCTTAGATGGTGAAGAGGGGAAATATCTTGAAAGGAAACAAGGACCCAACCAACTGATGTGAAAAAGGTTTTCTCCCCCTGTCATGCTTTCCTTTGCCATTTCATCTGAAGATTGTTCCTGGTTTGTTGGGTTTTTTTTTTAATCCCAAAGAAATCTCATCTAATATTGCCATTTGGAAAGGGAAAGAATATGTCACAATGGGGGCTGGTACATCACACATACGATGCATACATTCCTTTGTCTACACATAAACCAAAGGATACTATTTAATGCTATTATAATAAATCTATTCCAGATCTTGCCAATAACAGGAAGTGGAAGGGGAAAGAGGGTTTTTTAATACAAAGGAAGAACTTTGCCTTCTTGGGCATTGATGTTAATTCACACAGTCAAATCCTCTCATCCAACACACTCAAGCCTGAGGTAATTAATGGTGAAAACTGATTAAAGAAGAAATCTTTTAAAAATGACACATACACACCTTAAGACTTTAACTTGCAACCATGGTGACTGACCGTCCTGTTTCTCTGGGATGAGACACAGTTGGTTGCCAGGCACACAGCACAGGAGATGCACCCTCACATCATTTGGGGCATGACCTTTCTTTGAATAAAGGTCTAATGGGACTCCCCGTGGACCTTCCTTCATGAACCACTCACATAATATAGTCTATGATTCCCAATCTCAGTGTCTTAGAACTTACAAAGACTAGAATCCTTCTGGATTTTTACAACATTCCCCCACCTTCTGTAGTTATCATAACCCACTCATGTTGACAGAAATGCTTTTGTAGTAACTAATTTTGAATCTTTTCCAATATACTCACAGCAGTGACTTTGTATACCTGTATTTAATCCGTTTATAAAACGTTCACATCCCGTTTCATTAAATTACATAATTCCAATAGTGCAACTGGCATAAGCAGGTTTGAGAACAAACACGCTGATCCCGTCAGCACCCAGTTTAACCCTTCAAATAGGAAGACCTGGGCATCCTGAGAGACAGTGGGAAGGACTGGCTGCTGGGGCTCAGGTGCCATGGAGATGAGATGTGTGTTTACATGCATGACATGGGACTACAGGACAATACACCAGTTAATGCGGTGAGTCAATAATGTGGAAGCTGGTTAGAAAAACCCTGTGCTTCAAACATTTTAAGTGTATACTGCCAAAGAATGAATTTTGTTAAAAGGTAGTTAGCTCATTAGGATTTTGATCTAGCCAGTTTGAGTGTAAATCTGCTTTCCACAGCCTTACTGTTCCTGGGAAATACCAATTCATACTCATGTCCCAAATCTCAACTGGTTATCAGCTATATTTCAACCAATATTCAGTATTGGTTGTATTCAGCACATGGTATGTGCCTGGATTCGTCCTAGATCCAGGATGAGGGTCAGAAGGGAATTTATCCAAAGTCATAGGTCACAGGCTTTTTCCCCAGGCAGACATGATTTATACACATAAAATAATTTGAAAAATATAAAGCAAGTAATAAAGAAAGCATATTTTGGTGCATATTTTAAGGTCACTCAGTGCTACAGGCAGTTGAGGAGCAGGGTCAGTAATGAAGGTCCTACAGATCTCGTTTTGTCTCCAACGAGATCACGAACCCTCCTGACGCCCTGACCCTCCAGCCCCTGAGGTTTACATGTCGGCTACACAATTACTCTCCAACCACAGAGTAAGACAAACACTGTCCCTCGGGACACCTGCAGCCTCACCCACTTCACACCAAATGAAGTAAAATTACACAGCTTCCCCTCCACATCCAGCTGTTCCCTCACCCCATCCCTGGGTCTCCAACAGGAAAGCAGGGAGAAAGAAGAGGAAACAGAAACGATTCCCTCCACTCCACCCATGCATGCCACACTCCAGGTGTAGACTGGGCCTCGACAGGATGATTGGTGCTCTGCTAATTACAGGCCTGAATTAAGACCACAACATGTATTAAATAAACACAAAATGACTCAGATATGGAAAACTTCTATGCATAAAACGAAATTTAGTTCCTTTCTTTTTCCTTTTTATATTACATACTTGCCTCAACTTGGCCCAATGCCAGGAGGACACCTTCCCATGGAGACTGTCTACTTAGCATAAATTACCACTTTTGTTACCATTCAGCCCACGTGTATAATGGGGAAAGCAATGGGTCCGGGAAAATCAATGGCTGCAGGAATGGGCGTCAGTGGGGTTTCCCAAGTGACCACAGGCAAACCATCTGAACCACAAATACGCCCACTCAACACCGTATTGCTCTGCATCCACGTGTGCCCTGTCCTGCACTGACCTGAGGCTTCCCTTCAATCTCCTGAGACCACAGCCTGGAGCTTCAGGCCCCACTTCTCCACAGGGAGCTGCAGACAGCCACCAGAAGGCACGTAAAGGTCACTTCAGATTGGGATTGACATGTATACACTGATGTCTATAAAATGGGTGACTAATAAGAACCTGCTGTATAAAAAAATAAATTGAAAACAGAAAAGGTCACTTCAACTGGCTGGAGGTTCACACTGGCACAGCCCCAGGAAGAACCCCATCTCTCCCAGCATTGCCAAAAAGAACCTAACCACCAATGTGTCTGTCTTACCTCGAGCTCTGTTCACGAACCAAACAGCAAAGGCAGCCAGAATGAGACAGGGTTTCCAAGCCTTGCCAGAAATTGCTTCCCTAAAAGCTCTAACAATATATGACAGGGGCTAACCCCAGCATAGATAGCAAAAGAGTGAATATTGCATTTCATTCCCGTAAGTGGCATTAATCATCACGTTTAATCACTGAGGGCAGATGACAAGCATCCCCTTCCGCAGATGTCACTCACCGATGCAGGCGTGGACCCTCACGGACAGCTGTGTCCTTAGGATGATGCTGTGCTTCTTGCCCCGCCTAACGGAGACAGGAGACAAAACATTCATGGGCATCAGAGGAGTCAACAAGGTGACCCTACCTGCTGTCAATCAACTTGACGGTTCGCTTCGGACACCCACACCTGGAAGAGGCTCTCGATAAGCAGGAACCTACACAGAACAACAATGTATCCTGAAACACTGTGACGTCACAGGGCTTTACGGGAAATAAAATAATGAAGTCTGACTCTGTTGGACTGGCACACACATTTCACTGCCAAACCCGGTCCACTCCACAGAGTTCCGTGTACTCATGCCTGACCATGTTGGGAAATTTTAAAAATCTGTGCCCATGAAGTGAAATCCCTGGAATGTAACAGCACAAATCTGCTTGATCATTCCCATGGCTATTTTTACATGTTTTTGCATATCGGGAAAGGACACACATAGTGGGATAATCAGAAAGAGCTGTTTTGCTGTGTATCAATTCAAGACATGGCTTTTCCCTGAAGACAGGAGTCCAGCAAAGGGGGCGTGTAGGCTATTTGTCAGCAGAATGTCAAGGTACACCACACCTTGTCTCATCTTTGCTTCCTTTCACTTCATTTCTTATAAAGGAAGGAAAAGGATGGCCCCTCCCCAGTTCTCCTCCCATGAGGGCTCAGCCCGCTTTTACAGAGAAGGACCGAAGCCCAGAGCAGATGAGAGAAGATAAATGGGGAGAACATGAGTCCTGGCTACCTAGGGTAGCAAAGGCTTTGAGGTTTGGAGAAAGGGGGAGGCCAGTGGACAAAGGTAAAATGGAGCCAGGAACCAGCACAGGAGCGGGTAACCAGCTCAGTGGCTGAGTTCCCTCCCCATCAGGGCTTCATGTATACCAGTCTCGCAGTACTTTCCCGCTTCCTGGTTTTGTGGTTGTGCTGGAGCAGAAGAGGACAGACATCTCACCAGGGCACACTTAATATTGTGATATGAAGTCACAGAAATTATATTATAGTACTGAAACAATCATATTTTTTATTCTTGAGACCAAATAAGAGGGGAAAGTATGGTTTAAAAAAAGGTTTTTTGATTCTTTTAAAGGAGAAAAGAAAACCACTTGCGTGGTCCTACAAAAACATGCAGCAGCCTCCAACCCGGCAGCTCCTCGTGGGCAGAGAATCTGCTTTCACGGTCCCTTCAAATGCAGCCAAGACCCTCCTTTTTAGTTAAACTATGTGCAAGGTACTAGCCTCGAGTTTACACAAATACACAACACTCGACCCATCTTCAGAGGACAAGTTTGAGATTCCTATAAACACAGACTTCTTCAAAACTTTCTTCCTCACACAGAAAAAATCTTTTTCTCTCTTGCCAGTCCTTTACAGGTGAGCTTTCCCATTTGGTATTTTTCTTGTTTCTAGTTGTGGTCTCCTCTTTTCTGTCTAGAGAAGTTCCTTTAGCATTTGTTGTAAAGCTTGTTTGGTGGCGCTGAATTCTTTTAGCTTTTGCTTGTCTGTAATGCTTTTGATTTCTCCATCAAATCTGAATGAGAACCCTGCTGGGTAGAGTATTCTTAGTTGTAGGTTTTTCCCTTTCATCACTTTAAATATATTGTGCCACTCCCTTCGGGCCTGCAGAGTTTCTGCTGAAAAGTCAGCTGATAACCTTATGGGGATTCCCTTGTGTGTTATTTGTTGCTTTTCCCTTGTTGCTTTCAACATTTTCTCCTTACCTTTAATTTTTGTCAGTTTGATTAGTATGTGTCTCAGCATGTTCCTCCTTGGGTTAATCCTGTATGGGAATCTCTGTGCCTCCAGGAGTTGGGTTACTGTTTCCTTTCTCATGTTAGGGAAGTTTTCAGCTATTATCTCTTCAAATATTTTCTCAGGCCCTTTGTCTCTCTCTTCTCCTTCTGGGACCCCTATAATGTGAATGTTGGTGCATTTGATGTTGTCCCAGAGGTCTCTTAAACTGTCCTCATTTCTTTTCATTCTTTATTCTGTTCTGTGGCAGTGACTTCCCACCACTCTGTCTTTCAGCTCAATGATTCGTTCTTCTGCCTCATTTATTCTTTTTTTTTGGGAGGGGGGGTGCTCATTCTGCTATTGATTCCTTCTAGTGTACTTTTCATTTCAGTTATTGTATTCTTCAACTCTATTTGGTTGTTCTTTATATTTTCTAACTCTTTGTTAAAATCTTCTTGTAACTTCTCGCTCTGTGCATCCATTCTCTTCCCGAGTTCTTGGATCATCTTTACGATCATTACTCTGAACTCTTTCTCAGGTACATCGCCCATCTCCACTTCACTTAGCTGTTCTTCTGGGGTTTTATCTTGTTCCTTCATCTGGAACATATTCCTTTGCCATCTCATTTTGATTAAATTTCTCTAGACAGTCCTGATGTTGACACTCCTTCAATTCTTGTGATCATACGAGGAAGGAAGTTCCCATTAGTGCGCTGAACTGAGCTGCTGAACAGCCTTTTGTGTGAATTCCCAGGAAAGGTATTCTGGGGTGGGGGCAGCAGCCACCAGGCTTGCAGCCTCACCCAGGGCTGAGCCAGGGGCTCAGCTGGGAGCAGAAACCAGTGAACCCCTGATGATGGCCAGACCCTAACTATTAGAAACAGCAAACCCAAAGTTCTTTAATCTGGAAGAATTTTTTGTAACTCATGTTATCAGCAGTTATGAATCAAAAATAAATACCAAATGGACAGTAGACAAAATACATGCTTTAGATGCCCAGAGGGGAAGAAGCATGGGATGGCAGGAGAAAATATTTCAGAATTCCTCAAAAGTTCTAGAGAAGTTCACAAGGGCCCATTGATAGCCCCCACTTTTATCTTCAAACAACCGCAAAGTTGCATTTTGAGGAAGTGCTTCAGTTTTCCCACAGAATTCTCCAGTCCCACAAGGACTGGTCACAAGGGATCCAGGCACCTGCATGAGAACTAGGACAGTGTTTCTGAGGAAGCCATCAGCACACCACTCTGGAGGTATCATCTTTTCTGCATTTTTCAATGTTTGTACATTGAGAAACCAGGCAATCAGACTGGTTAAGCTAAACCCTAATAGAATTTAGGAGAGCATAGAACAAAAAGGGCCTATTTTTAAGTAGTTTTATCACTTATAATTCCTCTGCTTCAATATATTCACCTCCTTCCCTGCCTGCCCCTGTACACAAAATCCTACCATGAAAGAAACCTGAATGGAATCGGGGACCGAAGGCTGTGGAAGTCCCTCAACCGGGAATGAGGGTCCGAAGCCCAGGAGTCCCTGGCAAAGGAGGGGCTTCCAAAGCAGAGACCAGGGAGTGGTAAGTGCAGCCAGGCCCACAGAAGTTGTCCTTCACCTCCCCCGCAATCCCTACTTTCTCTCATCCTTGACGCAGGTACCACGGTTGTGCCCACTTTGCAGATGAGGGAAGCAAAGCTTGTAGTAATGACGTGACCTGCATAAAGTCACATAGCTGATGGAAACAGACCAGGGCTGAAAGCAGAGTGTCTGACTCCACCGTCACCTGCACCATCCTGCCTTTTGCTGTGTAAGTGCCTCGCTATATCACCTTCTCCAGCACTTTCTAAGCATAAAAAGTGTCCCAGGTTTTTTAAGGGACTGATTTGACCTCAATACTAAAATCTAACAAAAAAGGACACAAAAAATTAAGATGAAAATATCTAAGAAAATATTAGCAAACCAAAATAACAAATGTGTGAATTTAATAAAATAGGACCAAATAAGGTTTATTCTAAGAATTCAAGAATTACAAGATGTCCATGTTTTATTTATCTATATCAAATATCAATGTATAGACGACACCCATCGTAAGGTCCTTTAAATTTGATAGCTTCCCTCCCTCCACCACAACATTTTGTAATTGGGTAATGCTGATTGTTATGTATTTCTTCTATATATGCCATCTTGCTGCTAATATGGATTCTAAAAATCTTTTGGCTTATTCTCTTGGCTTCTTTCAGGGAAATAATCATTTCATACAACTTAAAATAATCACTTTATCCCCACTTTTCTAGTAAATATGCCCTTGTCTTCTGTTTCCTGGCTAAAACTTTCAGAGGAAAATTAAATAATCATGGATATACTTTCCCCCGCCCCCAGTGGGATACTATGTCAGTCTGGGTTCAGAAAATAATAATCATAATAGTTGTTAACATTTATGGAATGCTTATCACGTGCCAGATGAGGTTCTAAGTACTTTCTACAGATTTAGTCTTCAGAAAACTCCTATGAAGTAGGTAATATTATTGCCATTTTTAAAGTAAGGAAATTGAGGCCCAGAAGAGTTATGCGACGTAGCTGAAGTCACACAGAAAGTGACAGAGCTCGGACCCAACCCAGGCAGTCTGACCCCAGAGCCTGTACGCCTAGCACCTCCCTGAAGCTGCCTCCCAGATGGGTGTTCCTTCATCCATTCCCTCATTCCACACATGTTCACTGGTGACTAGTGTGTGCTGGACTCTATGTTCGATCCACAAAGGATTGTCTGCCTCAAGACAGCAATGCAGAAATCCTGCCTGCTAGCCTGCCGGGCAGATTTTGGACTGAAGACTGCAACATCAATTCTCACCTGAATTTCCAGCCTGCTGGCCCACTCTACAGATTTCAGACTTGCCAGCCCCCAAAATGGTGTCAGCCAGTTACTGGAAGTAAGTCTCTCTAGACAGACTAGCTGGATTAGATAGATTAAACTAGATTAGACTAGATGGATAAGACATATCTTATTGGTTGTATTTCTCTGAAGAACCCTAATACAAACATTGATTATTTGCCTTCATGGAGTGTCCATGTTCTAAAACTGAAACCAGTGGGAGGCTGTCAATGTGTGTTCACCATAAGCACTTTAATGGTCCTTTTCTCCCCGATATTGGCTTGCTGTTATCAGTATCATAGCAGCCTCTCCTTCCAAGTCAGCCTGTTTGCAGCAGAGTGAAATGGGGGTGCATCAGTTACCAGAATCTGGTGACCCAGAGGCAAAGGCAGTTTAGTTTGACCTAAAGCTCCCCAGGGAGATTCAGATTCCATTCCTATCAGCACAGCCACTG